GCTCGAAATCCAAGCTCTATAGGCAAAAACTGACTAAAAATTCAATATCTCAGCAACAAAGCACCATGGGGATGAACCAACCTAGGGTATTTTACTACTCACTGAGGTCTACAAAATACAAGTAGTTCGAGTTCAAAAGCGATTTATAACCTCGAGAGGTTCCCTCGTGAGAAACTTTTCACCGGCAAAACAATATCACACTTTAATTAAACAAATTAATAATAGTTCAACTTTGTGACACTGAAATAAAATGGCGTTCAGAGCTCAAAACAAAGAAAATAAATTCCTGTGTACTTTGAAGAAGGTACTCCACAAGAATATCTCCGATTGCTTCATGTTCTCAAAGAAAATACCAAGTAAAAACATTAAAATCTAGTTGAAAAGTGAATAAACTATCTATAAAAGGTAGTGAAGGGTGTTGCGACAGAACATATTTTTAGTGCGTCGTAAGATATTCTGATGAATTTAGCTAGTACTATTGAAAACTTCGAAGTGTTCAACACTTGAGTATCAAGCTGACAACTCAGTTTCTGCTAGTGCACACGACATTTTAGAGGCTGTATAGAATGTGCAATAAACCACAGTACTTTATCTTCGAAACTGTCTGTCTAATTAGCCGCTAGGAAAATGTTCATTTTCATATAATTAATCTTGCATTTTGAATCCACTTTTTCTTTCGAGTCATACGGTACTATAATGATAGGTGGACAAAGATAAAAAAATAATTTCGTGCACTTTTTCATCTACACGAAAAATGTAGGTGAAGTTACCACCGGATTCGAGTAAAACTTCCCCATATTAGCCTACGAACCTGTTCCAGAGACCTCTTGTATTTTAATCTTTTTCCTTTCGTTCTGTGCTTTATAACTTTGAACTATATATCAATCGAAATTACGGAAAAAACTGAACAAAGCAGGCTATTCCGCACCGGTTCGCCGCCGCTGAAGGCGGAGAAAAATTATTCCGACTTCCGCCGCTGACAGCGGAGAAAAACTGTTCTGACTTCCGCCGCCATGTCGTTAAACTTTTGTCGCCGAGGATGGAGAAAATTTTTTTTCGAAAATCTTGACTAGTTTTGTTCGTACGTTCTTACCCTTTAGGCATGTAGCTTGCAGCGCGTTTCTGTCTTTTCGTATACGACAGATACGGTTGATACGCGAAGAACGTGCCAGAAATGCAAGAGAGCGTTGTTTTACTTAAATTATGAGATTCGCCGCCGAAGGCGCAGGAAAGTTTCATAGCCTCGCACCAGCGCTGCCACCGCCTATGGTAAAAATTTCATTCGCCACTGGCAAAAGTTTTCTTTTGGCGCACATGTCTGGCTACGATTATCGAGATATTCACAAAAACAGAGTCCGCTATCGTATAGAATAGTGAATATCTCGGTAATCGTAACTTGTGTGAAAAAACTGAAAACAGGAAATAAAATCTCATTTTATTTTGATTCAAACTCAAAACTTTTATCCAATGAATTTGAGTTGCTCAAAGATGAAAAAATGCACGAAATAAGCACATCTTTTTTATCTCAGTCCACGTACCATAATTCGGTCATGCACATACAAACAACATCGATTAGTTCTCTTACGCATAGCTTCTTTCTGATTTTTCCCTTCTATCTCCAATCGTCTGCTAGGGTATATTTTGATTCTACACTACGTATGACACAACTGTTGAAAAATAAAAGATCTTTCGCTATAAAAAGAGAAAAAATCTTCCGCTATAAAATATCATTTTTTCCTTTTCTTTTCTTTCTGATACCTTCTTCCTCATGTTATGATAATCATATGTTTTATTTTATACTTGTTTATTGATTAATGCTGCTTTTCAACCTTTTCACCATTCAGTGGGTCATACAAAAGGTCACAAAAAACTGTTTACTGTTTCTTCACGTAATTCTTAAATTGTTGGTGGTATTCTACTGGTAGCAAGGCGACTATCTTCAAATGACTCGATAAATCCGCATCTTCACCTTCGATGAACGATTTGAGATCAATGGCAATTTTCAAATGATGCGCTGCTCTCTCCATATCACCAAGTCCAATTAGTGCTACTTGACCAGCAATAAACTGAAGATCAGGCATCAGCGATAGACTACTATGATATTCATCTTTAACAAAGTCAATCAGTTCATCGCACAGTTTTATTGACTCGCTCGGATTTGTTTGCATAGAATAAAACACATACTCTCGATTACGTTCAAAATCTGACCATTTTTTATCGCTTACACCATTGTCTCTTAGTTGTCGCTCACATACTTTGCACTGACAATTAAAATTATAAAAACTCTTGAGTAAATTTTGCCGTTCATTTCGTGGCATAAATGAGTGATATGGGACTAGAATCTCTTCACCACATTTGATTCGACGATCGGCAAATAGACGCTGTTCACCATTGCGTGGAAACCATTTCCAAAATGAGTTACCTTCACAATCATGATTAACAAATGACATTTGATGAAATATGCCGGATGATGGCGTTGTACCTAGTTGAATGCAGTTTGTTTGACATACATCTAAAATATCGCCGTTGTTTGATGATTGAGATCCCGACAGTTGAGAAAACAACCTTTTCTTCTCGCGATCTAACTTTTCATACTCAGTACGCATCATTTGACAGTCTGTCCATTGAAACAATGGCTTCTCACGTAGAATAACAGTGGCACATGGAATATCGCGTTTGGCAAACATACCGTAACCCACTTTGTCCGTACTCAACTTGATCATGAACCAGTTTGAATCAGGTAGAGTGAGTTGACGTGTGGTGGCACTCATGACACACTGGGAAGAAGATGTATTTAGTATTTAACGATGTGATAACAACGAGAAAATATGTCCAAGGCTGATTGTGTATGAAAGGATAGAACTAGTGATATATTTATTCCGATTCTCTTTTCTTTGGCAGCTGATGAGAGAAAAAGTAGATTGTTATTGTATCGTCGAAGGAATAAAGAAAAGATTGTTATCTCGGTATGTATAGTAGTTCTCTTCCGTCTCCTTACATACAAACGTATCGAAATTCTCTCGATGCATTCTCTCTTTTCTTTCTTTCTCTGTTTATAACGAGAAAAAGGAAAAAAAAGGAGACATTTCTTTTGCATAAATTAAGATGCTTAATTAAACCGAAGGATTCTTCTTAGAATCTCTCGATATTTTACTCTAGAATTTATCAGTAATGTCACGAGTTCTATTTTCAAGTAATTTCACAACATGGTCTTGTCAAGGAATATAAAACTCTTGCTGAAATAAGAGGTGATTCACCTGCGCCGTGAGTCTTGGTTGATTCATGGCTTGTTATAATACACTTGAGACCCAACGTTTTTACTAAACGCATTTTTTACTAAATGTTATGAATTATTTCGCGATCATGCTCCTTTCTTAACATGAGTGGTAAACTCCTTTGTGTTTGATACGATAACGAAACATCATTGGTATGTATCGTTAATTTATCATTTGTTCGTTTTTCAACTGATGAATATGGTCGTTCTAGATTTTTTTCTCGCTGTATTTAGGATAATGACGCTGTTGTTAGGATGAGGTCTCAGAATAGAGGCTATTAAACATACAGATATATACGAAATGTCTTAAATGGGTTTTGTTTAAAAATCTTTTATTGCAGAGTTACAAGGTTGGTATTGGTTACGCATCTTGTGTTTTTTTACCTACACTGGAAAATGAGATGCCTTTTTTAGCAAACAATAATTTTGTGGAAAATATCATGGCTTCCACCCAAGCAAATTCCGAAAGAAAAGATAGCCGAACGTTTTTTTGTTATGCGGCGTGAAAGCGATTATGGCTACTCAGATGGTTCTGTAATTGATGAGCAAGGAGAAGTTCTAGGGATGCTTTCGATGGCATGGGGCTCAGGTGATTCGTAGGCGATATAATTCCAAAAAAATAAGTTTCAAAGTTCCATCCATGTAACACAACTTCAAAAATTTGAATCTTTCAATAGAGGTGGTTTTTTCAGTTTATGACAAGCTCTCAGTATTTCGCGATTTTCTCCACGAAGAAAAGGATTTTTGAAGTTCGGAATGTGTTATTCGGAATCAGCGTCCAAAGACAAACCAGAATATGTATTAAAATCGAAAAAATAAAATTCACTTGAATTTTGATCTAGCTGAACCTTACTTACTGTGTAAACTGATTATTTTAATGATTTAGTTCTACTTTAAAAATGTTCAAAAAGCAGATATAAACTGGGTGGAATCAATCGTAGACAACAAAACAGTGATTTGAAAAATGTGGAACTAGTGCGTACCGGTGTAACATAGTATCCCGAGCGCACTGGTAGTGCTGCCCGTTTTTCAGTACTGTACTGCAATTTTTTTTGTATGAGAGTCGATCATGTTTTACATGTTTTTTTGTTATTGATTTTTTTTTTCTATACTCTCTGCTCGCGGTTCCTTTGTTACGAGATGTTTTCTTAGGCATAAAATAAAATTTCAAGTTCAAGTTACATAAGAAGCTTATACTTCCTTCCTTTACAGATTTTTTGAATTAAGGGACTGGTTCAAATCCTGTACCAGACGTAACGTCATGGATAGATCACATATGTTGCATTTTGTAGAAAATTATTTTATCTACAAAAACAAATTGTTCGCAAAAACGTTGCGAGTCATATTCGGATACTTGACCTTGGTTTTCCTACAGACCCTATTTCAAGCAGTTTCGATAGTATTACCTCACACACCTGTGTTGATTGGAAACTCTTTGAGCCACTCGATTCTTTCTCAAGCTTTAACCTAGCTATTGCAGTCGAGGAAAAACTTCTAGAGTACGGCTGTTCCAAACTTTTGTGATACACTTTATGTGTCATGATTTACTTCTATATTTTTCTGAGCATCAATTGGTGTAAGTATGCAGACGAAACTAAATATGCTTCATAATATTTGATGGAGTTAGTATAAGCGGTCATTGACAATGTTTGATCAATAGCTTTGTGTGTTAGTATCAGTTTGAAAAGATGCATCACATATCATACTAAAGCCTCTTTAATTGCAAAGCCTTTTATATGGAAAGTTCTAAAAGAACGCTACACTGAGAGCAAAATTAAAAATAGAATAGGATCGACTTTTTGAACCAGTACGATCAAAACTTTGAGAATATATTAGTCCACAAGCACCTTTTGAAGCGCCAAAATATTACCAATAAACGAACAAAACGTTCTCAATTGACCGAAAACTAGACAGGATAAAGTGAAAGACTGCGGTGTGAATGTGCAATATATTAGTTGTTGTACACCAGAACATTTCCCATCTTTCAAGCCTGTATAGAGCTTTCGGAAGGGTATGTGAGCACTGTAGAAAATAGCTTACTAATAAATATGACTTTTCTCTTCTAGCAAGATTTCGTTATTCAAGCATATGAAATTAGTGACTTCATGAAAAGTGTAGAAATATGACATGATGCTATCAAATTCGGGATCGCAATGCCAAAAAACGATCCTCGAGTAATTTTAGAGTGTCCCCGAGGTTACACATTCAGAAAGTGTTTTTCCTCACGTTGACTGTGGCACCACAAATACGTCATTTTGTGATAAGAGTCTGGGGGGCACTCCAGACCTACTCGAGGATTTGTTTTTAGCATTGTGATTCGGAATTTAATGGCTTTATGTCATATTTCTACCATTTTTATGAAGTCACTCATAACCAAATAAAGGCACATTTTTAAAATATGTCTAATTTTATTCTGTTGTTTTCAGTTAAGATGGGGAGATTTAGTTGCTGCGAGGAAGTTTTGTGAAATATGCAAATCCCAAAATCTTTTGTTGGAATCCACGATGCAGAAATTCAATCAGTCGTTCAGCTATCTATTATTCCTATAAAGATCAAAAATTAGGTCTGAAAGTTTCAATTTGTAAAAGCTGTTATAATGAAAAACAATATGATGCAGATAAATTTCAATTAATTTATAATGTCAGCTTAACTAAAATGGATTTGCAGAAAACCAAAAACAATTCTAACTATTTTGACACTGAAATACAATGTATTAAATGTAAAAGATTATTTCACGGTAATTTCTTTTGTATATATTTTGTTTTTCATTTGATCTGACTAAACATTATTTAAAAACTCTAGAAGTATACATACTGTATATTGAAGAATATTAGCAAGACGTTTATGCATGTCCTGATTGTTTACCAAACGATGTACGACATACTCCAGCCCAGAAAAGATTCATAGGGCTTATAAATTACAAACAACAAAGTCAGAGATTCATTTACAACAACGGATCGACAAATATCTTGTTCATGAAACGCAATCAGATGGCTATCGGAAAAGTTTTGGAAGTGTTAACGTTAAGGTGGTATATTCAGGGTACCGTCGATTTGATGTGAAGCCACGACTGAAACAACTCTATGGATCAAGTCTACCTGATTATTATCAATATAAAATGCGTGTGATATTATTGTTCCAGGAAATCGTAAATGTTGACGTATTGTTATTTTCATGTTATGTTCAAGAATATAATGAACACATGTGATCATAATGAGAGGTAAAAGGCTTGTAACAGTTCTTATTCAAAACAGGAAAACTATCACTCTAATTTATAACTTCATGCCCGAATTAAGATGTAACGAAGTTTCGTGTTACATCTATTTTATAATGTTCGGCGTCAAGCATAAAAGCTAATACGAATGTGTTTTAGAAAATGACATACTCTGCAGTGAGTTACTCTCTTGACTGTCCCAGAAAGGGTTATAAGTGTCTGTCCATAAGTTGCTGTATGACTGTTATATCTTTTTGCAGTCAATTGATGGTAGCGTATCTTACAGTGCAGTATTTCAAACCGAAGGAATATCGCCGACGCGTATATTTTGAACTTTTAATTGGTTACCTTGAATACATGAAAGAGTTAGGTTTTAAATAAGCTTATATATGGACGAGTCCACCAGGGAAAGGGAATGATTATATTCTTAATACTCATCCAAAGCATCAGCATAGTCTAACACAATCTGAACTGGTATAATGGTACAAGAAATTGTTTAGACATGGCATCGGTGAAGGTGCAATCAAAAAGATTCAGGTAAATTTAATTTTATCAAAATTCAATGACATCACTACAATATATATAATTTAATATATAATACAGAAGTTGTATTGAGTTGAATGACCTCCAAAACATCGCTCAGTACGTTCGTTACACTCAATTTATGTAATAAATGTTAACTTTTAGAGTGTCGAGTAAATAAGATACTATAGAAAATCGCCCCCGCGACTAAAAACCGGTCCTTTAACATAATTACGTTACATTAATTTGATGTCTAATTTTATGATTAGTATATCAAAGAAGAGATACTGAGCGACTATAAAATTGGTGATGAAATGATAAAACTGCCCTTTATGGATGGTGACAATTGGCCTGCAGTTATTGAAGAAAAATTAACTAAAATGCTTTTCTTTCTTGAAGTAAGATTCAAAATAAGATTCAGTAATCTTTTTTCAAATTATTTAGTAACGATGAGCAACGCAAAGTCGGCAAAAACAAATGAAGAGATGAAACATTCGCTACCGATTTATTTGAGAGATTTGTTTCAGAAACATGCAGAGATTTGTCAACCATTTAAGTAAAGTTCTGTCATACTGGTTCAAGAGAACATAACTACTAACCAGATCTTATTCACCGTCAGAATTACCGCATATATTTGTGCACTTAAAATAAGACAACCAATGATGTTGGCTTTGAGACCTTTTGGATGCAGGTCCGATTTATAGCTATCTCTTTGTACAAAAGTGAAAGTCATATTCAACCACCGTTAAGCAATGGGTTTA